AAGTATGGAAATGAGGGTCCTAAATTAATGAAATACAGGATGTTAATACCATAGGTGATTATTTGATGACACCAAGTAATGGGGGTCTCATTTTCCTCATTTGTTACAAGAGCAGTTTGGACCAGAAGAGCTCTGAGAAACCCTCCTGGTCCCAACACCCTTGAGTTCTGTGACGCCAGACAGGATGCCCGTGACTGGGCACTGGTTGTGTGATGCCCACCAAGACAGGGCTCATCTCCATGTCCCTTGTGTGCTTTGAGCTTTAAGAGCTGAGGGGCACCACACCGCAGTGTCTTCCCTCAGGGCTGACTTCACCCACATTATTGTGAAGAGGCTTCAGCATGTCCCACATGATAGGAATAAATGTACTGCTCTTAGAGCTTGAGGAATCCAGTTTACAAACACATGCGCATGCGCAAAGTTCTCACCAACTACAGCTCCTCCAGGAATCATTCCTGGGGACACAGGATTGACTCCAAAATTGGCTAATAGTAGAGTGGCTGTACATTCTGGTTTGACCTGGACTGTCCCAGCGGTGTTGTCCTAGTGGGGGGACCTGTTAAGACCCATGTTTTGTTAGAAGCTCTAATCACTTCTGCCTTCCTTGGACTTCCAGAGCCTTTGTGCTTCCTTGGCTTGTGATTTTGGCCCAGCCCACACCCTTGGAAGGTTGGAGGCTGCGCTTCCCACCTCCAGCCTTGTCTGAAAGGCATTGGGTAAACACTCCCCTCTCACTCAGTTCTGAGTCCCTCCTGCCAGCTGATCTTTGCAAATCCCTGCCTCTGTCTAACACCGAATACCATGCTTGGCACTAGCAGATGATCCATAAATGTTTGTAGAATGAATAGATTTTCCATAACGCAAAGAAAATGATTTGGTGTCTAAAAGAACTTAAAAAGCCTTCTTTCCAAAATCAAGATGGCGGAGGAATGAATGGAAGTCCCACTGACCTCCTCCCAGGACCAATCTGGAATTACAACTAAATTGTGGGGAAATCACCTGGGAGAAACAATTGAACAATAGTGAGAGAGGGGCCTATAACCTCAGAAAGACAGAAGAATCAGCTTTAGCACAATCTGACTGGTAAGGAGTGTGGTAGAGACTCGAGAAGGTGGGTGGGGCACCCACGGGCGGCAGCACCAGAAGGATATTGAAATGGCCAGTTGGATCCCCCTGAGAATGGGGTCCAAACCATAAGCAGGATCTCCAGCCTACAGCACCAGAGCCCAAAAAGTACACAGATAACAACAAGCTGTGAAAAGCAGCAGGATTGCTCTCTGCCAAAGACAGGCACCTGGAGACGCATAGAGCCATTTGAAGTACCAACGCATAAATTTTTATTTGCAGCCACTTACCCTGGTCTCCAGCCAAGGCAGGGTCAGAATGGGCTAGAGTCGCCTGAGGAGACTGGGGAAGGAGGCTTTGGGGAGAGAGCTGAGAGTAGCCAGCTGGATCCCGGTGCTGACTCATGCCCCATGCAGCAGCAGCCATCTTACTCAGGCAGACCACTCCCCTGAGCGGCAACAGCGTAAGAGGACACAATAGCCCCGCCCCCAGGAGGGTCTCTGCCCTGGCCTGGTAGTGCTAAAGCCTGACTACTGAGTACAGAGTGGTGACCATAAATAGTAGATCCCTGGCTAAAGGGGACAGAGAGTGGTCTAGAAACACTTGAGGAGAGGCTGGAGACAGAGGCCCTGGGGAGAGAATGGAGAGAGTAGCCAGCAGGATACCGGTGCTGACTCCTCCTCCATACAGCAGCAGCCATCTGATGCAGGCAGATCACTTCCCTGAGCGGCACCAGCTTGAGAGGACCCAATAACCCTGCCCCCAGGAGGGACTGCTGAGTGCAGAGTGACTAGATTAACAACTGAAGGAGACAGCCACAGACAGTAGATTCCTGGAAGTTTTGAACAGACTGCCTAAGGTCAGACAGGGTCAACATCTGATATCATCAGAGGCAGATCCAGAAAGAAAAAACAGTGGTCTCCTACCATAGTTCACACCACAGAGTCAGGAAATCAAGACAGATCAATTTGAGAAGCAGAAGCAAAAAAAGAAGAGTCTCACACATAATGTGAAGACAAAGAACACCCCCCAATCGAAGGGAAAGGAGGAATCCCCAGAAAGAGAACTAAATGAAATAGAGGCAAGTAAACTATCAGATATTGAGTTCAAAACAATGGTTCTAAGGAAGCTCAATGAGCTCAGTGAGCTCAGAGAGCATTACCAAAAACTACAGGGAAATTATGAGGAACTTATTGCAAATTATATCAGCATGAAAAAGGACATAGAAACTATCAGTAAGAGTCAAGAGGAAATGCAGAATACAACTTCTGAATTGAAGAACACAGTAGAAGGAATCAAAAGCAGGCTAGATGAAGCAGAGGATGGAATCAGTGTGCTGAAGGATAAGGTAGAAAAAAGCTCCCAGAAAGGTCAAGAAAGTGAAAAAAGACTCAAAAAGAATGAAGAGGCATTGAGGGAAATGCAGCACAATGTGAAACGTAATAATAATCGTACAACAGGGATACTAGAAGAAGAAGAGGAACAAGGGATAGCGAACCTGTTCGAAAAAGAAATGATGGAAAACTTCCCTAACTGGAGGAGAGAAAAAGTCACAGAAGTCCAGGAAGCACGGAGGGTCCAATTCAAGAGGAACCCAATGAGGCCCACTCCATATCAATGAGGTTCCACCCACATCATAATTAAAAAGGCAAATATCAAAGACAAAGAGAGCATCCTAAAGGCAGCAAGGGAGAAAGAGGTAGTAACATACAAGGGAGCCCTGGTACAGCTAGCAGCTGACTTCTCAACAGAAACACTATAAGCCAGAAGAAAATGGCAAGAAATATTCCAAGTAATGAAAAGCAAAGGCCTGCCACCAAGACTGCTCTACCCAAGCAAGACTCTCAATTAAAATGGAAGGTGAAATAAGGAGTTTCCCAGACAAAAGAAGGCTAAAAGAACACACCTCCACAAAACCAGCAGTGCAAGATATGCTAAAGGGACTTTTTTAAGAAGGTGAAGAAAAAGAGTCTATGACTACCCAGTTCCTTTCACAGTCACCAAAACTTGATATTACCAATATTTTTAATACTTATTAATCTGATTATGACAATGATGTGCTATTTGAATTACTTTATTATTCATTGAAACTAAACCTATTTTTGTATATTTCTTGCCTATTTCTATTATATTTAAAAAGCTTTAAATGACTTTTTGGTATTCTTTATCCATTTTTTGATTTAATGTTTGTAGAATTTTTTCTGTAAAAAACAATTAACCCATTTGTAAATGTGTTGCAAATCCTTTCCAATTCTATTACTTGTCTAACTTTTTAAATATGTGTATTACTCTATAGTCTTAAATGTTTAATGTAGTCATATTGTTAATATTTTACTTTATAGTTTCTGGGTTTGAATATGTTACTTCAGGGTAAGAAAAATATTATTTTGTATTTTCTCCTAAAACTCCGTAGAATTTACATATTGATTTTTAACTCACCTGAATATTTTTTGTATAATGTGTGAAATAGGGCTCTATATTTGTTTTATTTTAAGTAATAGTGGCCCATGCACCTTATTTGTTGAATAATCCTTATTTTCCCCATTGATTTGAAATACCAATTTAATCATATATTACATTGTTAGATATATACATTTATTTCTAGAATGTTCATTTTATTTCATTGATCTACTTGATTATTTCTGTGCTGGTGTCATGTTGTTTTAATTGCTGAGACTTTATAATGGATTTAAATATTTTAATATTTTATAATGGATTTTGACATTTAAAAATAAAACCAATCTGCATTTTAAAAAAAGAAAAAGAAAGAAGGAACTTCTGCCTTTTGCAACAACATGGATGGAACTGGAGAATATCGTGCTAAGTGAAATAAGCCAGTTGGTGAAAGACATACCATATGATGTCACCTATAAGTGGAATCTATTCAACAAAATAAACTAATGAACAAAATAAACTACAGGCATGGAAACATGGAGCAGACTGAAAGTGACCAGAGGGGATGGGGAAGGAGGACAATGGTGGAAAGAAGGGACCAAACAAAGAACATGTATGAATGACCCATGGACATGGACAACAGAGTGGGAATTGACTGTGGGAGAGGGGGGCAGGGTGGGATGGGTGGAGGAGGGCAAAGGGGGAAAAATTGAGACAACTTTAACAGAATAAACACAATTTTTTAAAAATAATAATAAAATAAAAAGCCAAAGTTTCCCTAGTGCCCCAGTACCAAGGCCCCAGCTGTGTTCTTTCAGCTCGGACCCACTATAGTGGGAAAACCCTCTGTGCCTACTATTCACACTCCTCTCCCCACTGCTCCCACCTGAGGAGACTCCACGCCTCCTCACCACAATTCAAGACCTGACCCTCCTCTTCCCAGACCTCTTTCCCTGAACTTCTAGGCAGACTACATTGTAGGGATGTTTTACTTCTCAGAGAGACTGAGGCCCAGGCTTTCTTAAGCAATGTCCCTTTACCACCAAGTACAGGACCAGGTGGGTACTCACCTCTATAGAGGCCTGGTTTGGAAAAAAAAAAAAAAAAAGGAAACAGTGAATCTAGCAGAAACCCCAGCAGATGTTGAAGAGACCTGACTAATGGGCACAGCCTGCTCCAGTCCCAGGGAGGGGGGTCGGTTAATTTGGCAAAGCATCTCATCTCTTTCAAGAAACAGCTATTTTTTTCACCAGGCTGAGCAGAGAGCTTCAGGTCTTTATGAGAAAGAATCCCAGCCCCTCCAGGATCCTAAAACTGCCTCTGTCCAACCTGGCCACCCCCACACACACCCCTGGCTGGGGTGAGTCTGTTCTGTCCTTCTCAGGAAAATCAGAATGAGCAGTTGCTGTTGAGGATCCTCAAAACCACCTGCTACTGCCTCACCTAGGAGGCTGTGAGAATTTCCTATGATGCTCTTCCTACCTTTGTCTCTTCCACATATCTTGTCCCGGGCTCTGCGACTGGTCTGATTCTTCTCAAAGCTGCTTCCCAGCTGCTGCTTCCCTGCCTGCTTTTCTGACCTCTATAGACCTAAATGTGGTTTGGCTTTATCCCCAGAGTCCATCATGCCGGAAGTGGCCGGGTACTGGAAGTGTATACCACGCAGCCCGGGGTTCAGTTCTACACGGGCAACTTCCTGGACGGCACACTGAAGGGCAAGAGTGGAGCAATCTATCCCAAGCATTCCGGTTTCTGCCTGGAGACCCAGAACTGGCCTGATGCAATCAATCAGGTAAAGCGACAGGTTGACCTGTTAGAGTGGTGATGTGTCCAAGGTCACACTATGTGACAGATGTCATGACACTTGAGTCAGGTCTGTACGATTCAAAAGTCCATGTGTGTTCTCTTCTCCAAGTCATGATAAACACAGGAAACATTTCGCCACGTTAGTAACCTGGCATTTAGCTGTCTTTAAAAATATCTCTTATTTTGTGCCTTCAAAACCTTTATTCAGTTTGTTTCTCATCAGTACCTACTCATTTTCTGCAACCACACTTAAAGATGGTCCTTCATTTCTTCTTCCCTTTTGCTTCCTCATAACTTTCTTTTCTACCTATTTCCCAGAGTAACGCTCTGCAAAGCCCCTGCCTGTAAGACACTTAGAGCTTGTGCCAGAATATAAATCAACATGCTGCTTCCTTCAAGAGTCTTGCTTGCTATGACAGCATGTACTTAGTGATGTAGTTGGTTTTCATTCTGGCTCAAATTTTTAATCTCACTGGAAACCAGTAACAAACAGTTCTTACACTGCCATCTGGTTCTCAGAGCTAGTCTGGAAACCAGCCCTGAAGCCATCCTGGGTGAGGGTTTGACCTGGGCTGGCAAGGCGTAACCTGTGTCTTTTTTCCCCTTCACAGCCCCACTTCCCGCCTGTGCTGCTGAGGCCTGGTGAGGAGTATGACCACACGACTTGGTTCAGGTTTTCTGTGGCTTAAGGAAGTGCCAAGATAGGACCTGCTCCAAGGCCAGGCTAGGAGCCCCTTCGGTAGCCTGTCTTCTATTTGGAAATGAAGACTTAGAAGCTTTAAAAATGATCCTGTGATTTAAAAATCGTATAAATGGTAGCTGTCTGATAACCAGTTTGAATATTGATTTCCTTCCCAATGACTGGCTCCAGGCCGGGTCTGATGACCAGCTCTGTTCTCTGTGTAGTTGAGGACCCAGCTACCAATCATCGTCCAAGCCCTAACCCCAGCCCAGAAATGGCGCCCGGACCCCCATGCTCTGTTGGCTCCATCTCTCCACCCTGCCTCTTTTCCTACTTCTCACCCCTCTTTTCTTTGAGCCTATTCTCATTCCTTTTTTCCTCCTTTTTATAAAAAGCATCAGTCCAAGTATGATTAACTGTCTCTGAGCCTTAGAAGTGGTATAACTTAAAGTACAAGAAAGAATCTGTAATTTTGATTCTCTGCTGTTGAAGTTCACTGAGAAAGCCCAGCCTGGCGAAGGTAGGGAAGAGAGGAAGCTGTTGGAGTCAGGAGCTGTGGCAGCGTGAGGACAGGGCCTTACCTGAGGATTGCACAGATGTTGTTATGTAGATGAGGCTGGGGCTCCTTCTCCTGAAGAGTTGAATCATCAGTGATGGGTGTAGGTTGGTGGTTTTTAAAGAATTGTGTTTTTTTATATACTAGCAATCAGTTGGGGGGGGGGGAGACTCTGCACCTTTGAAAACTGTTTCTTCACTTCTTTAAATCTGTCAGCATGGATCTTTAGAAAATACACCAAGCATGTGTGTTCTGGACTCTATGGTGCACTCCAGTACAAGCCCCAGTGTCTTCCTAGGGGAGAGCTAACTGACTTGTTAGTTAGCCAATTGAGCTTCCCATTCTTCCTCTTTCTTAGCAGCCAACAGTAAACCAAAGATAGTGTTTATTTCTTAATTCATTTCAGCATGGGTTTTCTGAGTACCTATTTCACATAGTTCTCTGCCAAGTCTTTTAAGAGAACCAAGAGGTAATGTGTAAGATGCAGTCTGTCCCCTCAGGGACATCACAGTCTCCCTGGGAGAGACCAATCCGATGCTGTAGAATTGCACAGCACAGCTGGAAGCCTGGAACTAGTACTAACTTTGCTTCTAGTACTAACTTGCAAAGTACTTGGTTTTCCTTTGTTCTAAAAAAAAAAGAATTGTTTTTACTACAAACCTAGAAGTGTAGCCCAAATAAGGATATTCCTCTTCAAGACAGCTGGAAGAAGTTACTGGTATTTGAATTAATTGTTTAGGGAAAACAATAAAGAGCCAAAGTTTGATTGTCAAACTGTAAGTCTGATAAAAGTAAAATTTTAGAAAAATTGACCTTTTGTGGTGGCAACCAGTCTATTCTTTTTCATGAAACATACACATAAAAGAGGGCTTTGATGTGCTTGAGAAAAGACACTACATAGTTGTGAGACATGTAGAGTATGATGTGAACATAATTGTAATATTTTATGATGAAATCACTGAAGATAACAGCAAGAAAAAACTCTATAGTAAGAACTGGACACTTTGTTCACGTGAGGTAGTGAAAATAAACGTGGTATTTGATATGAAAAACATCATGTAACTACAGTGTTGAAGTCTTGTTCAAAATGCAAATATCCAGTAAAATGCAACACCCACTCCCCTCCAAGAAAAGTAAGTCTCCAGGGCCTTAGGAGTCTAACCTTCATTACCATCACCCCCTCCCCCAACCAGATCACTGCTTTATTATTCTGAGTTCTGATCCTTCACAGGCGACCGTATTCCTATCATTAACTATGGGATTTTCATTTTTCCACCTTCCACTCATTTTGCTTAACAAGAAAGATGTGAAGTTAAATAATTGCACAAACACTGCAGTAAAGACTAAACTAGGATGGCAAGCTGTGCAGGTTGAATTGTTGTGACTGTTCAGTGACCAACGACAGTCCAACCTGAGCAGACGAAAGGAAGTTAGCGTCAGTGAATAAATGGAGAGTCTGTGAAAAGCAGAACACATGAATTATAGGACCGCCAGAAGACGGGAGGGAAGCACAACATGTGCCCTGTTCCCTCGCCAGGGCCCATTATCAGTTGTAACCGTTTCAAACAACTGGGTCACCAGTTTGCAATGGGCTATTTGGACAGTTTCGACAGAAGTGCAGTCCTTTTCCAATCAAGTACTTATCTTTTCCCTTTAAGTTCCAGCTTCTTCAGTCCAATTACTCAAATCATAATTTGCTGGGGGTAGCACTTCAGTTATAGCCAAGTCAAGTGCTCAGCAAATCCTCTCACCAAAACAACTATAATGCTAGGGGGAAAAATCAACAGAACAACTTTGCTGCTCTGGAAACTAACCAGAAACACACAACAATCTGAGATGAGATGTGCTTATGTTTGAAAAACTGAACTTGGGTAGGAACAGCGGGGAAGCTGGCCGCCTTTCCTGGCGCTGCTCCCATTCCCCTCTTTCCCAGCTCAGTCACTGTGGAGGCTCTGCCAGGGCAAAACAACATGAGGACGAGCAGGCTGCTGTCATCGATGGGGGGCTCACTCAGTTTGGAGTGGTGGGTGATACCCATGTCCAGAAACTTTCTCAATACAATAGGAGTAATGATCTCAGTGCAAGGTGAGCACGAAGGGCCGATGGCTCTACGACACTTAGGTTGCAGTTGTGATTGGAACACACACATATTGGCTAATTGGGCTGCGCACATGCATAGAAGAGACCAGACAGGGTCTGAACTATTCAAACAACTCCTGGCCAACTCTGAGAGGCTGCATGCATGTGCAGAAAAAATTATGAGGGGCTCAGCAAAAAGTAAAAGCCAGGACAGACTTGAAAACAGCCTAAACACAAAATTCACTCCCTACCTACACACAGGTCCATCAGCAGAGGGAAGAAGTCTGACTGGTTGAAGTGTATTTGTCCAGTTAACGCCTGACCACTACTAAGCTATGCAGACACAGGATAACTGCCTAATAAGCTGTACTTAAAAATAAACACAAGACTTAAAAAAACAATTACCAAAATAACTAAATAGAGATTATAGAAAAGAACCAAGTGAAATTCTGAGGTTAGAATATACAATAACAAATGAAAATTAACTAGAGAGGCTCAGAAATAGATTCAAGATGGCAGGAGAAAGAATAAGAACGAAGATAGATTAAAAGAAATTATTCAATTTGAAAAACAGAAAAGAGATTGAAAAACTTGGAAAAGAACCTGGGACATGTGGGACATCAAGTACGCCAGCATATGTAAGTATAATGGGAGTCCAAAAAAGGAGAGGAGAGAAAGGGACAGAAAAATATTTCAAAAAGTACTGGTAATTTGCGGGGAAAGCTCAACCAAATTTGATGAAAATCACTGTACTATATACTCAAGAAGCTCAACAGGAAACTCCAAGGATACATACAAAGAGACCCCCACCTAACTACAACATGGTATTTATTGCTGAGAGAGAGAGAGAGAATTTGAAAGCAAGAGAAAAATGATTCATCAGTACAGGGGACCGCTGTTACAATTAACAGCTGAATTCTCATCTCAAACAATGGAGTCCAGGAGGCAATAGAATGACATAGTCAATGTGCTTAAAAATCAAGGACTCTTAATATCATCCCAAATGACCCTTCCAAAGTGATGGTGAAATAAAAACATTTGCAGATAAAAATGAGAGGATTCATTGCTAGCAGACCTTTCTTACAACAAATATTAGTAGAGGAGGTTTTCTTTCTGCTGAAAGAAAATTAAGATGGTAACTCAAATCCATGGAAAGAAATGAAGAATATCAGAAATTATAAATATGTGCGTTAATAAGAAAGTGTATTTTCTCATCACTTCTTTAAAAGATATGATTGTATAAAGCTGTAATTGTTATAATAACATGGTATCATTGAGTTTATAATACATATATATAGCACCAGTGAGGAAAGTTCAGAACAAGAAAATATATTGGAGCAAAATTTCTTAATTCATTTCAGCATGGGTTTTCTGAGTACCTATTTCACATAGTTCTCTGCCAAGTCTTTTAAGAGAACCAAGAGGTAATGTGTAAGATGCAGTCTGTCCCCTCAGGGACATCACAGTCTCCCTGGGAGAGACCAATCCGATGATGGTTTTGATAATACCAAAATATTAATCTGAAGTAGATTATGATAAATCAAGATGCAACTACTAATAACTCAAAAGTATAGTAAAAAAAAAATCGAGTTAAAATGATACACTAAAAAATATTTAGTATAAAAGAAGGCAGTTAAAAGAGGAAGAGAAAAAAAGGAGACACAGAAGACAAAATAACTGTAAATCCAATCCCATTAAATGTAGATGGTTTAAACACTACAGAAGGCAGTTTGTCAAACTGAACTAAAGAGCAAGATCTAGTAACTAATGATATACTCGTACACCAATAAGCTAATAATAAATGGATGTGAAAGATAAAGCATACAAACAGCTGGAGTGGCTATTTTAGTATCAGACAAAATAGTTTAAAACAAGAAATATTACTAAATAGGTATTTTATAATGGTAAAAGCATCAACACATCAGAAGATATAACAATTATACATGTTCTATATGCACCTGATAGAGCTTTAGATGTTCTGAAGCAATTCACTGTGACCAGAGGCCATGCCTGGAGTGGCACTGGTATTGGTAAACATTGCTTCAAACTTCCTGAACTGAACATCAACTTTTTCTTTTTTTTAGATGTAACTTCTGAGCACAGTGACCTCTACTGGTACTAATCTAAACTAAAATGCAGGTTCTGCCTTTTTCATAGAAAGGTTCCATTCCAGCATAAGGTCATTTGGTGAGAGAAAGGATCAGAGAAACCTAGAGGATGCATAATAGAACCCTGCTTTGAATTACAGGTTGAGTGCTGCTAACTTTATTATGTAATAGTAAGCCAGACCAATCCACCCAGTAACTAATGAACTAAGCCAGCTAACATTAGCCAGCAGTTTTCAATGCTGGTTGTATATTAAAACCACCAGGGGAGTTTTTTATTTTAATACCCAGGCTTCACCCTCAGCAATTTCAGTTTCATTAGGTATTAAAGCTCTTTGTGTCCTAATATATAACTAGGAATGAGAACCATTGCCCTAGAGTAAAAGCTTTCGCTGTTATCATCTCATAAAGTTCACCAATATTCTAAGTGCATGAATGTGTTCAGCTAGAATTTGCTCCTTAGCTTCATGGAGCACTTCCTTTACAATAAACAATCTTTCCAGACCAAAGGTATGTCTCAGTAAGCCCTGCAAACCCTGCCAATAATCCTGGAACCCAAGGTCTTCAGAAATAATTATTTTCAAGACTGTGATCAGTTGAAGATGCGTGTCTAAAGCAGGGGTTTAAACAGTGTTTTAAGCTTTGTGGGACTTAATCCATCGTAATTACTTAAGTCTTGTCATTGTAACATAGAAAGTCATAGACAGTAAGTAAATGAATGAGCATCACTGTGTGCCTATGAAACTTTATCAATGCTGCAATTTGAATTTCACATAATTCTCATGTCCTGAGGCATTATTATCCTTTTTATTTTTTTCCAGCCACACAAAAATGTAAAAACTGCCCTGGCTGGTGTGACTTTGGTAGTGTTGTCCTGTACACCAAAAGGTTGTGGGTTTGATTCCCCGTCAGGGCACATATCAAGGATGCAGACTGGATCCCCAGTCGGGGTACATGGCGTACAAGAAAAATCAGTGTTTTTCTCTAAAATCATTAAATGTGTATTTTTTAAAAAAATAAAATGTAAATACTGTCTTAGCTCATTAGCAGCATGAACACCGCAGTGGGCCAGATCTGGCCCGCAGGCCCTGATTTCCTGAATCCTAGTCTAACAGATAGATAGCCAGCACTCTCGAGCACCGCAACACTGCAGCGCAGCATATTCATCCTTAGGCAGAGGAAGCAAGATGTTATTACAGGAGCCGAGGAATTCTGGTGATTGTCCTCCTGACCAGGACTGTGATAAACTGGCCTGTCTGCCTTGGCCTCTGTCATACTCATTTTCTCTACAGCCAGAATTCTTATCCTTGGCAGTGAAAGGATTCATTTTCTAGAATCTAGATTTCCTGACAATGTTACAACCCATAATAAAAACTGTGTCCTTGTATAGGATCACATCCAACCACCTTCAGTTTTTAGTCACTAAGATTCCTTTTAGTCAGGGAATCTAGAGGTGGAGACATACCACCTCAGGCAGCTGAAGTCATATGAAATGGACACTGGTGGTCCAATGACTTGCCCTTCCTTACAAGGGTTAGGCTCACTCACCTGGGCTCAACATCTCTTGGGGTGGCTGGGAGGTTAGGGAACTCTACACCCTTTTCTGTAGAGAACTTTCTGCACAGAAATTTTCCACACCTTTTCTGAGCAGAATTCTCCAACTTGACCCAGATAAGGAGAGAAAAACCTTATGCTACAGTTGCACAGTAGATAGAGCAGGGCATTGTAAATAGCAGCCTAAGGATCTCAATCCTCTGCAGGCAGATTCAGACAGGAGTCAGTCTTACAGAAGACTAAGGAAAAATGTGGGCTTTTAATTCAAATGGTGATTATGAAGGTCTCACAGAAGATGATATTAAAATTTAATGTGCATGGTTTAATAGAATTCAATTATTCATCCATGAACTCACTTTTTAGTCACCAAATATTTAAGTATTAATAAGTGCTAGGCAATGAGGAACTGGAATAAGGCCTGGTACCTGCTGTCACAATATGTCTTGTGGTGGCATACCTGCAGAGAAGTAAACAAGCGATTACAGTGTAAACAGGTGTCCCGCTACAAAAGTTTAGTGTGTTGAGAGCAAGGGAACCTAAACCAGACTTCTGAACCCATGAAAATTTTCCAGAGTGGGGGGCAAAGCATGTATTTTATAATTTAAAAAAAAAGAAAAAATCCAAAACAAAAACAAAAAGAACTATGCTGAGACACCATTTTCAATACAAGGTTGGTAAAAATCAACAAGCTTGATAGCCCACTATGTGTACCATGTGAGCAATGGTACAGGAAAACAGGCACTCCCCACACATTTCCACCTGGGCAAACTTACAGTACCTAGCAAAACCATACATGCACCTACCTGCTGATCCAGCAATTCTACTTCTAGGGATCGTCCTACATATGCAGGGCCACATTTGTCAAGTGTTGTACAAGGATATTCACTTTATCATTGGAATAGTAATTAGAAACAGCCCCCCAATCTATCAATAGGGAACTGATTCCTGTTACTCTTTGCTCAAAAACTCTCAAGGAAAAAGTGAGTCCTTTATAGGGTGTACAAACGTTCTACATGACGTCCACATCCTAGACTCCTGCCTTCCAATGCCATGTCTTCCCACTCTCCTCTGTTCATTTCCTATTGGCCTCCTCTCCCTCCAACAACTCAAACTACTGTAGGGTCTTCACACTCACTGTGCCCTCTGCCTAGAACACTCCCCAGCAGAATGGCTTCCTCACTCACTAGCTCAAATATCACTTTCAGAAGCCTCCTCAGAAGCCACCCTTTTTACACAACAGCAGCCAGCTCCCAATCCTTCTTACCCTGCACTTCATTCTTTTACCTATCAGTTATTACCCACCTGATATTTGTTCATTTGTCTCTCCTTTTAACCTCCATAAGGACAGACTTTGTTCACCTCCGTAATCCAAGGCTAGCAGTACCTGGCACATTGAAGGGGCACAAAATTTTACTGCATAAATTATGCAACATCCAGGCAACTAAATAGTATGCAACATTTTTTTTAAAGTGCCATCTTTACTTATATGAAAGATAGTGAGAAAAGGTGTATATATATCTTAATTACAAGAAAAAAGGGGAACATGTTTATTTGCTGTTAACTGGTTGACAACGGTTGCCTTTTGGGAGGTAACTGGGTGGCGTAGAGTTGGGCTAGGGAGCCTTCTCACCAGATACACCCCGAATATATTAACAAGTCTAAAACTGAAATGAAAATAGGTTGAACCAGTGGCCTGTGGAAAAAAGGAACAAGCACTAAGTTTGAGAAGTAGCCTAAAGTTAATGGGCTGCTACATTCCAAGTGCTCCAGAATTATTCTTCTATTCAGCATTTTTCCCCATTAGATCTGGAAAGAAAACTGCGAAGTTATTAACAATGGTATCATCTACAATGGGTAAGAGCATCCATTATTTTTTTAATTTTTAAAGATTTACTCATTTTTAGAGGAGGGAGGGAGGAAGAGGGAAACACCATGGTTACCTCTCACACACCCCTCCATGGGGAATCCAGCCTGCAACCCAGTCATGTGCCCTAGACTTGGAATCAAACTGGTGACCCTTTGGTTCACATGCCAGCACTCAATCCACTGAACCACACCAGTCAGGGCTGTTTTCTTGGAGTTTTCCATGTGATTTTGTTTTAATGAGCAGTAAGGTGCTTTATTGATTAAAAAGAGCAGAGGCTTTAAAACCATAGGTAGGATTCATACTTTTCCTACCTCCTAGCAGGTTAATAGTAGCATATTAAGTTACCAGTCACCTCTTCTGTGACATGGGGTTAACAGTACTATTTTGTTGTGGGTATTGACAATGTCCTTTCACATTTTTACAAATGGTAGTAATAAACCTGTAAGGTGTGGAAAAAAGGAACTACCACGCTTTCCAACTGCTTACTGGTGTTTTCCCTTTTTTGACAATCATCCTGGATATACCCCCTGTAATACTATACTACCATAATCTAGGTATCTTTGCCCCCTTTGGCCTGTCACCAGTTCTCACCACTACAAATACTTTCAAGACCAGCCAGGCCCCTAGTTATTTCTCATAACTGTCACCTTCTTTGCTTCATGTCTTTCCAGCTACGTGATTATGTGTACACCTTCTGGGTTATATTCCAAAGGTCTCTAAACAGCAGATGCTTACTAAGCTAGATCTAATGAATTCTTTGCTATTATTCCTCACTGGTAACTCTTTGTGAATTTGTCAGTTTAGAGCTTCTTATTCCTACTCAATTAATGTATCTTTGAAATCATTGCTACTTTAGATTTTGAGGCTACACAAAAATGACCATCACAATCCTACACACTATTTGTTTAACCAAGTCTCAAGCTGATGACAATTCAAGACCTCCTATTTTCTGTCCTCAAAAGGTACACAATTTCACTTGATAGTCTACCTAGCTCCAAGCTCAGGGAAGAACTACTACTCTAAGATCAGTGTATGCCATTACTTAACCTCTCTAACACATGGGTGAGGACCAGATAAGGTTTTATGCTAAAAGTCTATCTGTTGTGTTGTTCGCTTAATCAGAGCCAGGTTTAAAATTTAGAATTTCAGTCTGGAACAGTACTTTTTGAGGTCATATGATCTACTTAGCAGTTCTAACTTCTAAAAATAGAACAGTACACTACACCAAAGTGTTTCATTTTAAGATGCATACTAAACACAGGGGTACTGAATTATAGTCAATGCTATGATAGGTGTTCACCTACATAACCATTCCCCTTCCCCATAGTTTGGAACTTTCTGCGCTTGATTCTTAAAACCATTTTGTCCCTACCCCTGCCCCTCCACATATCTTTTTATCCTTTCATACTAATCTCCAGCACACTGCTAGTAATCGATCCCAAAGCCACAGAAATGGCTCCTACTCTTGGCTCAAAACTCCCACTCCCAAAAATTGAGTATCAGGATTGTTTGTTCTTTGCAGATTTATTGTTGAGTAAACTTATCTTTATATAACACAGAACAATTAAAGCTGACCAAGTGCAACAAGTCTGCCAATTATACAGTTTTATACCAACCATAATTCAGCCAGTTTTCAAATTTCCAAAAACAAAGTACCCAAATGTCCAACATACTTGTGATCATTCAGATCAAATAATTTGAGGCAGACCAGTACCCCCAAATTGCAATGCTATCCAATAATCTAAGGAAAAGGACAAGGGCAAACACTGTGCCACCAGCATTGCTTTTCTTTTTGCACAATCACTTTTTTTTCTTTTTGTATCAAGGCTAGAGTACCTGGTAAAAGCTTGACCAGGAAATTCAAAATTAACTGTTACTGCCCTACTAAAGATTATTTAAAGAATCTACTGGTCATAATATTCTAAGGTCCACCAGATGCTACCAGAAACTACGTAAGATGTTGCTAAATATAGGTGAATTTACAGAACTGCGCCTCATTAACATTTCTGATTGACATCTTTAATTACTTTGCACCAGCCTGGCAAAATAAAATATGTTGGTGATCGAGAAGTTAAAAAAAAAAATCTAACGAGAATTAACAGATCTCTGCTCAGAATAAGGCAATCCATTTGAAGGGATGGAAGAGTATCTGGACTGGAAAATTTTGCAAAGCTGGTTTACATAAAGGTGTTGTCTCAAATTTAGACAATTCCTCAAACATGCAAATATGTTGGTATAAAATTGGCTAATGTTGAAAATAAAGTTAACACTGAGAACTTCCTAAAATGGGAGTTCTCATTTGACACCATCCCATCTAATAACCCAAAAACCTCACTATAGTGTTCAGAAAGTAATTCAGTTCCTCAAGCATTGAGTCCAATTACTTCTGATACCATTTGCTTTAGTAAGCTTTGTTTAGTTGTCATGCTCACTTATCAGCAAATCAGTGGTTCCTCTAGCTTAATAGATCAAGATCATTAACCTGACAATATATAACACCAACTCCAATTGATTAATTCAGGGACTTGTCATGATGCATTCATGCTGTTAAGGGGACTTATCTTACCCAAAGCTCTAAGGGTAAAAGAATTTACCAAGTGTGTGTATACTACAGTTAATGATGTTGAAGACTAGGTCTGTACGAGTATGGATGGTATCAAAGTTGACTATTGAAGCTTACCAACTGAGTATTAATATTGAACACAGATCAAAAATCTAGTTAGAAACATTTTATTTAAATGTGCCAAATAAAAACCCACCATTTTCAAACCATAAGATGTTAATACATTCAACAAAAATTTATATTATCTTACTGCTGTGAATTTACAGAGTAATAATCCAGATCCATTTTGATTAGATGATTGAAATAACCTTCCTAGGTTACATTTAACAAACATCACAAATCCCTTATAATAATGTAAACAAAATAACTTTTCCCTAAAAGGTGAACTTGAGAACTTCAGTCCACTCTTTCAGGACTTGCACTTCTTCGTGGACTTCCTGATGGGGAACGACTAAAAAGAAAAACATTAGGTTTGGAACCCATTAGTGTCTACTGAAACTTACTCTTCTCATGAATCCGTCAGGACAAAACTCAGTTTCAATAAATTCAAAGGTGACCAAAGGAACTAAGTTTCCATAGCAGAGATCCAAAAATTCATAGGTTTATATACAAACCCTTTGTCCCTGGTTAAAGATTAAGCTTAATAGACTCCTTGATAAAACTGCAGAGTTAAGTTAAAGAGCATTATATGAATTTTGGTTTTTTGTTTTTGATCATTAAGTACCAAGTAGATTATGATTTGGTACAAGATTTCAACCTAAAATTTTTTATTCATGTAGGCACTTCCTTTTTACTTATTGTCATGGAAAAACAATTCTCTAAGAAACTTAGGATCTAGTATTTATAGAAATATATATATAGCACCAATTCTTCAAAGAGCTCAAAATCAAAGCCTGCAAACTTGGCAAGAAGCAAACAAATTCTGCGGAGACCACATCTGATAGTTAAAATTTGGCAACAATTTATTTAGCTTACCTTCTTTTTGGAGATGGAGATCTGGACTTTGATCGGCTGTCAAAACATGAGAAATTCTATTAATAAAATGTACTATACTAACTAATCCTTTTTTGAAAATCACAGTATTATGAAATGAACCCACCAAGCTGTCCTGAACTTAAATGTCAGTCTGCAATTAAACTAGGGGGACAGGGGGGTGGGGGGCAGGGGAGCCTATCAACTTTAACTAAAGCCAATATTCCAACAACTGTTCATCATAAAAATGAACTGCTGTACCATGACTAATCTGCCTTAAGCACAACTATCTCAGAATGCTCCTCCATGCACCCATCAGTTCTAACATGTGCCTCCTACTGTTAATACCAAGGTCACAAACTTCTTTCTCACTATAGCTTTTTATTTTCTTGTCCAAGAAGTCAGCCAAAACAGGCCATCTACAGACTAAGTTCTAAAGTTTGGTTTATTAATAAGGTAATGTGTTCCCACTTAACACCTACGCTTAAGAGTTAACACTTGGAACCTCAACAATTCAAAACACTTTGAACTTTTTGGATACTGGTGCCATATTATAACTACAAGAGCAATTATCAAATTTTTACCCTTACCTGCTTCTTGGTCGTGAAAGAGACCTGGACCTTGATCTTGACCTTGACCTGGATCTTAAAACCAAAATTTATACCAGTTAGTCCATACTAGTAATTTTCTTAAACACCTCCTGAGCACCGTATTAGGTAGGCTCAGAATAGAGGCTAAAACTGAGCAAGTTGCAATTCTTGCCTCCTCCTCAGTCTAAATTAGACAAATTATTCCATTTTCAACTAGCTCTGATAGCAAATAAGGAATCACCATTTCAGTGATTTCTTTCTACTATACTCAAAGAGCTGAATTAACTGTCACAGTTACAGAGGTCTAATATTCTTAAGGTGTATAGTATCCAAGAGAAAAACGATGGTTTTCATTTAAGACAAATATAATTTAATTTTATCTTAAACCAAATCAACATCATACAGACCCCCTGAGCTGAGATTTCAATTATTCAGGTGATAAGCTAAATGAAAAAAAGTCACATCAGGTAAAGTTTTACTCTTTAATCAATAAGCTTTCTTGGTTCAAGATCATCAATTGATCACACAAGCCAAATCTGGCTGACATACAAGTTCACTTAATTAGAGAGAAGGTCCAGAACTTTTGCAAACAGGCCACAAGTTTTAGACTCGCTGCATTTAAAGACTTAAAGAACAATGGTATCTCTCACTGGCATTCCCTACTACTCATCATCTGTAGTTTTGTCAACTCCCTATTTTACATTGCTTTTTTATATTTGCATTTGTTTTTTTTATATATTGTATTTTTATTGCTTTTACAGGTCTTATAAAAAGGGAGTAAAAACAGCTGAAGTTACTAGTGTCATTTTTAACTTCTTAAATTTCAGTGTCTAAACTAAGTGTCTGGCTAAACCAGCCACATTCACCCAGATGTACATTACTGAATACTTTCCTAAACAACTTCCCAAGGTCTCAAATTCACCCCATCAAGCCAGAATATGTCCTTAAGACATTCTGCTAATGTCATTAAGACGTGACAACCCAAATACAAATAAGGGGGGAAGAATGTTACATACTGGAAATACCTCGATCCTTTTATAGAACCAGACCTAGATCGTCTGAGTGAGGCCGACCGTGATCTACGAAGAGACACGGATCTTGATCGTTGAGGAGATGCTGATCTTGACCTAAAAATTAAACCAAAGAGGTTTAGGTCCATCTTGAATTAGTTTTTTATTATTTGTTAAAACCTGAATTAAAGATTTCTCACCTCCTTCCCCTGCTCCTGCTTCGTGAGCGAGAGTATCGCCTACCTCTCGATCTCGAATGTGATCTAGACCGTGACCTATTTTTCAAGTTAGAAAAAAACAAAATGTGAGATGGCAATTCGTTTTTATAGTTTGTGTGCCTCTGCTGAAATCAAATCTCAAAACTATTTAAATTTAGTGTCTCATATGGAAATAAACTCTGGGCCTATTAGTTGCCGAGTTTTTTTTTTTTTTTTTAATTTTTTAACTACCTAAAAAAAGATTCGTTAAAAGCTGAATTACATCTTAGAATTACATAATATAAAACACTGTAATGTGTATTTAAAATAAACCTTGCAAGTTTGCAGGTCGACCCTCTTTGGCCCATGGTCTAGTAGATCTAGACGATCTAGAAGTATCTATAGCCGATCGCTGCATCTAGATGTTTTCTTCAATCTAACGACGATCAAACTGACAGCCAAATGAGCCAGGTGAGGCTTGATTGACGCAAGAAGATTTTTCTAGTTGGGAATGTGGTCAATCTGGTGTTCCTCTTTCTAAACCGGAGGGGGCCCCAATTGTAAGCCAAATTTACTGTTACGGCGATCACCGACTCAAATTTTCTGCCCTTTAAATAAGGTGAAGCTAGGTGTAGATGACTCGAGGGGATCTGGCCTCTTATGCTGATCACCTCAAGGTCTAGGAGGATCTTAATTGTCGGATTTGCAAGGCGCCTCAGCATATCATAAGGCTCGTGACATTCTGAATCAAGGCGACTGACTCAAACGAAGAAACCTGAAAGGTTTTGACCAGGTTGATTATTAATATATTAACATTTTATTAAACAAAAATTGTAAAATACACCTGTACAATTAACATTTAAAATTATATAAAAATACTAGTTTCTGCCTTGCTAATAAAAAAATTACTTGATTAACTAGTATACCAACCATTTCTTTAAAATAAATACCTGCTTCTCCTTCGGCGGCTATAGCGATGACAATCATAAGCATAATGTCCCTTTTCACCACACTCATAGCATCTATCATTGGGATCAAAGGGACGTCGAGCAGGTGGTCTATCAAATCGAGATCTCCGAGGCATGCCTGTTGATAGTTCAACCCTCACACGGGAACCACAAATCACCCTATAAAAGAGAAGCAACAAGTTCTAATGCTAAAAAACTCATGTGACTTCTGAATTTAGAACTTTCCAACCACTCTTTGCTTTCACAAACTTCAACTATCTTTGTTAAGTCCTCCTAACTCCAACTTTGCTCCCTTTCTTAATTAAATGAAATCAGCTATTTACCATCTCCTCTAGACTACAGAATCCAAGCTTGGTACCTAACTCATTATCCAGCCTACCGGACTATTCTAATGAACTTAAGTTTTACAACCAGCATCTTACTTACTTGCCATCCAGGCCTCGCACTGCATCTTCTGCATCTCTAGGGTCTTCAAATTCCACAAAGGCAAATCCTGGAGGATTTCTTGCAATCCACACAGTTCTTAAGGGACCATAATAACTGAAAGCCCTTTCTAACTCTCCTTTGCCAGCACCAGTTCCCAGGTTACCAACATACACCTTGGTTTCTGTTTAAAAATGCAAATAGAAGAATGCACGTTATGCAAAATTTGACCTAAGTATGAATGAATTCTTTGCCTTGAAAGAGGCCACCCACTGTGCAAAGCACGTTTCGTGCTCTATTAAGAGTTGTATTTAGTCTTAAAACCAGCAAAGTCGGTAAATGTCTGAAGAGCTAGGCGTGTGACACAGTTTCTTAACATTCTAATTAGGTGGGGGGAAAACCCTCCAAAACTCAGGTACGAACGAGTGGTCGGACTTTCCGAGGCGTGAGGCAGGCCCCGCCCCGGCCCCGCCCCCGCGTCCCGGCAGCCCCGGGCACGCTGGAAGCGCGCGGACCCGCAGCAGCAGCGGCGGCGTCGGCGGGCGGGCCCCAGCAGGGCCGGACCGGGAGAGCAGGGCTGCGCCGGCTGTTGTCCTCCGCGGCAACCGCCCCAGGCACAGGTTCGCCTAAGACTCCAGCTCCCCGCCCCAGTCCATAAACCGCGCTCGAAAGAGCTAAAAGAGAAAAGAAACCAGCCTCCAGACAAAAAGATTATGTCTCCATACCCACTCCGCAGTTCGACCGACTGTATGACGAGAGAGCACAGCTCGAAGCGGCCAGTTTTGCTCAGGCTCAAATTCACCCTTGATTTTATGGCTGCGATCATATCTGTCCGCTAAAGTGGCGGGAAAGCGCCAAGGAAATGCGCCACCATGCTCATCAATGCGCGCAAAATGGCAGCCGAGGGCGGGGGGGTGTGGGGGGCGGCCGGGCGGCTCGAAGAAGGGCAACAGGAAAACAGTGACCGTGGGCCTCCCTTGGACTGGTATGCGAGACGAAAATGCCCAAGAATTAACACGGAACTCGACACAGACCTACACCCGCCATCCCCCGTCTCCTCGATATCCCGCCCCCGCTGCCTCCGGCTTCGTACGGTGTGCGCCGAAGCCGCCATTACGCACGCGGAATAACCGTCTCCCAACCGCCGCACCTACCCCACAGCCTCGCAATACTCGCTACACCCACAATAACGTCCCTCGCTAGGCCCTAACCTCTTACCTCCTCCGTATCGCCCGTAACGCGACATGATGACTGGCCCGCGAGCTCTGCTTCTTCAGCTCGCAGTGCCCAGGGATCGAGCAATACAAAAGCTGCGAACCCCTCACACGCCAATACTCCCAGCGGCACTACGAGGAAGAGCCGGGGTTTCCGGTTTATATATGCGGCGGCTGGGGTTTTCTGCGCATGCGTCACCTCGGCGTTCCGCGCGGCACAAAGGAGCTGGGCGGAAACTCCGGAGAAGCGGCATGGAGGAAACTGAAGGGGAAAAGACACCAATCACAGGCGGAGGGATACGTTTCCATGGGAACGTCAGAATCTCGCTTGTAAACCCTTGGTCTTCCCCACGGTGTCCCGCCCCCTCCCTCCCCCTTTTCTTTCACCGTCCCCGTTTTCCTTCCCTTTCCCCTTCCCCTTTTAATTTTCCCCAATTAATTAGGGACCCTTGGCTTCAGTAATCTTACTACAGGTGTATTAGACCGGCCTTAGGAAAGGCTGTAAAATTTAGCCGTTGATGGTGCAGCCGTCGCCGCAGTTCTGCTGGGGGACCTGGCCTAGACTTGTACTCAGTGATCTTTGGGGCTCGTCAGAGGTAATCGGGGGAGTTTGTCCAGGCTGAAAACTCCATGAATCCCGCCATTCTAAGTAGTGGTCTCTGCATTGTAGGCCTTGCTGCACCGACTCTCCAGTCCCTTTAGAACCAGCCACCAGTTTTCACCAGCACATTCCGAATTCTTGGAGTTTGGGGGACAAAGGAATAGAGTTGTTTCTTTCTCTTCTTTTTTTGTTATACTGAAATTATGACAAAACCCTAAATCCTTTAAAGCATTTTGACTAGTGACAATTCTGAAATTACTTGCATTTGAGGTCCACTTCATTTGTGCTTCCCTTCTAGATCTTTTGGCTTTGTATTGTAGTAACACATCTCATCCACTAAACACTCAGATCCTAGGGACTGGAATTTAAGTCTTCTTTTGGCAACAGCCGCTTTCTGCTTAGCCACACTGTGTAGCAAATACATGGAAACCTTTTCTTCACGTTAGAATCACTTAAAATCCAGTTTTGATTTTACCAATTGCCAGACACCATCTCTACAAGTTCAGATTTACCATCCACTAAAAGAAGACCCTATACCATAAATACTTGGGATACAAGGGTTGGAAGTGTTCCACATAAAAGAGGATGCCTTAGGTATTTGTCTTTTTTTATTCATCTGCTGTATCTTTACTTGGTGTGCATTGGTGTGGGATACAGAGTATAGGAAAAAGGAGGCTTAGTTGAATAAGCCTTTATTCAGACGAATAAAGCATGGATTTTTGCCAGGTAATGCTATGAATTTATACTTTTTTTTCAGATTTATCAAATTACAGAGAGAATTAGTCTGCCTCAAGGAAATCTAGCAAGAAAAAACAAGTTCTGTATAGTATGTTATATTTGTTCTCCATTAGCCTTGTTGATATTTCTCATCTACTTAACAGGGTTCTTCTCAAAAGGATTGAATGATGAAGATATTTTACATACTCTGAAAGGATACAATCCAATTTTATAAAGCCTCACTAATTTGACTTTCTCCTCTTAAAAATGAATGAAAATTGCTGTTGGACAAAATGTAGGTAACATCAAGAGATAGTACTTATTAGTCAATGGCCATACCACCTTGAATGCCCAAGGTTTGGTCTCATCTCAGGAGCTCAGCAGGGTTGGATCTGGTTAGTACTTGGAAGGGAAAAGATAGTGCTCATTATGCTGCATAGCTCCTAAGAGGCCTCAATATATATTTTTTGGCTCTGAATAAAAGTCCATTGTACAAAAGAGAATTTCTAAGCAAGTAATGCTAACAACATGAAAGGAAGCAATTTTCCAACTTGCAACAAACTACTTTCAAGCACATTAAAAGGAAAGGGGTTAACCCTGACTGGCTGGCTGCCTCTCTAGGAGACAGGCCCTTTGATAAGCTAATTACATACTATTTATCTTTTAAAAGAGGGCTAGTTCTAGACTGGGCTTTGCTAACAGAGTTGCCATGAAAAAAAATAATAATACTGTGTACTATTTTTGTACACTATTATACTGAAAACTCTCCTAAGAACACGTAACCAATTATTTTCACTGAATGTCTATCTAAATGAGGGAGATTTTATTGTAAAGAGTACTTTTATTCCTGCATATTCTTTTGAAACCAGTTTCAACTACATTTTTGCCTAATTTTGTTAAATTAAGATCACATTGCCAGATTCAGCTTGAATGTGAAAGCTTAATTCAATTCAACAAATATTCTAATATTTCCTAATATGAAATATTGTATAATTCTTAACGCATTAGTATTGTTAAACATTGATAATATTATTAGTCGGGCGGGGGTCGGGGAGGGGTAATTCTTAATCCTTTTACAACAGCTTTCAAAATTTATCTGCATTTCCTAGATCAGTATTTCCAAGGAAGCATTAAAGAAAAAGTCCACTTTTTTATCTTATTTTCTTCTCCATTTTAATTTCACTTTTAAGTTATTGTCACCATTTTAGATTGAATGTAAAAACCTTAAAACAAGAAAAACAAGTTTAGACCTTTTGCAGACATATCAATTGTTAATCTAACAAAATAGTCTGTAGTTACAAACACTAGTCTTTTAATATATATTTATGTATGTGCTGTGTCAGTCCAACAACTATGGTCAAATAGAACTTTCTTTTTTCAACATTTCATAATCTATTTCTTCTAGAATGCTGTTAAGAATTATGGGAAGGAAAACTTCTTAGAGACATGTTTATAATTTCTTCATATTGTACAAAGAAATTAACTTCTCATTAGCCAAGCGCTGGGTGACAGTCGATACAGAAGTACGAGGTGGGATGTGGCAACAGTTAAAGCCAGTGCTTTGACCAACTTCAAAGAGTGAAACTAGAAGAAGAAAAATGTGATGCAGGAAAGCCCTGCTAATACAAATATTATCAAAATGGTTGATTTCAGAGTGTAAAAGAATCTAGGAAGAGTGAGGCTTTCTGAGGAATGCCTGATTGCATTTAAAAGTGTGAAGCTATAAAACCATCAAGCATTGAATTAATCCGTTGTGCCATTCCTTCTCTAAAGAAAGAATATTCATGAAAGGGACTTGGTCAGGTTCATGTCTTAACAAAAGGGCTAGTTTATTTTTTTTCTTCTCTTTTTTAAAATTTCATTTATTGGAGTGACATTGGTTATAGACTAGATTTTAGTAGTTTATCCAGCCCTATCTTCGAAGAAGAGAACCTGTTACTTAGAGAAATACTGCTCAAAGCCATTGACTTCCCTTAGATTTTTTGATACTTTTTCTAGTCCCTGGAAATGAATATGTTCTACTGTAAATTAATACAAATGGTTTTAGTTCATAAATCCTTTTCTTAGGAGAGGTGGTGCAGTGGAATAATTAAGAACGTAAGCACATGGAGTGTCACAGCGATGGGTTTGAAGCTTGGCTCCAATTAATAGCTGCCTACCACTGACCAAGTTTATAATCTCCTGGTACTTCAGCTTTCTTATGTGAAAAATGGGGTTTAATAATAGTTGCTATCTCAGAGAGCTGTTTTTGGATTAGATGAGGTAAACCAAGTAAATAACATTTCAAAGTGTCTAGCAATGTTCAATAAATGTCAGCTGGTAGGAGGAGGAGGAAGAGCAGTAATAGCAGCAACAGTAGTCTGACTAACCTTTGTAAGCTTCTAAAAGTTTGATATGATCTGGGTGCATTGACAAAATTGGAGTCAGTTTATGCAAAGCTAGAGACTAGGCTCTGGAACATGATGACCAGCCTTAAGTGGCCACTCCTAAGATATCTTTGTCTCTTCACTCCCTGACTTCAGTAAGGGAAATTGTCACCTTTCTTCTTTGATCCAATCCAGAGAGAGAAAAACAATCTGACCTATGACCTATATAAGAAGCAATAACTCAGAAAAAGAAATTTTCTTCATGGAAAGTAAATCCCCAGGAATGCAAAGTCAAATGGCAAAACCTTGTTAAGGGTTATATACAAAAGTGTTCCCCTGTAGAACGGAGAAATGTGTGTTCATTAACAATGGAGAAATTGTCACTTTTTATACAAAGTTTAGTCTTTGAAGCTAATTTTTATACAATTAGGTACATCTTTTTAAAAAAAGCAAAGAATTTATTTCAAAAACAATAACAAATACACTACAACTCTCAGGTAGATAATTAAGTTTAGACTACATGTGAAAGAAATGGCTTGAAATTCAGAGATAGGGGTTTTATTAGATCATTAGTCTAACCACTTTGTTTTCCAAATGAGGCTAAGACACAGAATTGCAGAGTGGTGAAAGCATTGGTTCCCAAATGCTGTTACAAGGACTGTTCGCCTGAGCTTCGATGAAACTTTGTCCAATCCCAGAAAAATAGAACTATTGGCAACCAGTCTTTCCTGGGAAGAGCCATCCTTTGTTCTGTGAATGTATCCTTCTGTCCTCACTTTTTTAATGAAAGGATGCTAAGGGTAAAAATTTTTTAAATCTCATGTGTTTTCTTGATAGAAAAGTCTGTTCCCTCCACCCCCCATGTCCCCCAATTTTTTTCAGATCTATCTAGTTTCCAAAATCCAAGAGTCTGGAATCTCTCATAAAAAACAAAGCATGAGTTTACTCAATAAGAAAACAGAGAACAAACAAAAAAGAAAAAAAAACCACCACCCCAGAAATAGTTCAGAAGAGAAAAATGAAAAAAATAGCCTATCCTTACTAAAAACGCAAATTAAAACAACATGCTTTTTTGTTGAGAATGCAGTGAAATTGGCACTTATACCCACTAATAAGAATGTGAAATAATACAATATATTTGAGGGGCAGTTTTGCAGTATGTTTTAAATTTATTAAATTGTTTGTAGAGTAGCTCTCCCTTATCTGCAGTTTTGCTTTTCACTGTTGTCAGTTATACACCTGGTCAACTGGGTCCAAAAAATATTAAATGGAAAATTCCAGGAATAAACAATTCATAAGTTTTAAATTGTTCACATTCTGTGTAGAGTGATGAACTATTGGGCCGTGCTGCTCTGTCCCGCCCAGGATTTGAATCACCCCTTTGTCCAACATACCTGTGTCTATTACCTGCCATTAGGCACTTAGTAGCTGTCTAGGTTAGCAGAT